ATGTAGTTTTATGATTCATCTTGACTTGATTTTCATTGAGGGTGTAAGGTATAGATTGAAGTTCATTTTCTGTTGCTAATGGAGACCTCATTGTTTCAGTGCCATTTGTTAACAAGGTCATCCTTTCACAATGAATGCCTTTGTCTCTTATTTGAAAATTACATATATATTTTGTTTATATATGTGTCTTTGCACCAATACTAAGTTATCTTGATTACTGTAGGTTGTCTCAAAATCAGGTAGTTCTTCAACTTTATTCTTCTCGCTTGCTTGCTTATACTTATGAGAATTTTGTCCTTAGGTCTAGAGCTTTAGGGTAAGAGTACTAATTGTACAGGTCTTCCTGTGCCTGTGTATGAGAATTTCTCTAGAGCTGATACCAAGAAAAAAAGTGCTTGGTCTTTGGGTATATTCCTATTCAACTTTATTAGGTATTGCCAAGTAGCTTTCAAAAATAGTTTTACTAATTTACACTCCCACCAGCCACATATTAGGTCCTTTTCCCCACATTTTTGCTAATATTTGATGTTATCAACCTTGTTACTCTTTACCAATATGATGTGCCTGACATGGTATTTCACTAAGTACAAATGAGATTAAGAATCTTTTCATATGTTTATAAAAAGTTCTGGCTTCTTCAGATGAGAACGGTATGTACAAATTTTTTACCCATTTCTACATTCAATTATTAGTCTTTTTATTTATTGTTGAAAGTATTACAGATGTCACCCTTTTATAGATAAAAAAAAGCTGTGGTATATTTACACAATGGAATATTATGCAGCTGTAAGAAAGAAAGACCTCTTACCCTTTGAGACGACATGGGTGGACCTGGAGAGTATTAGGCTGAGTGAAATAAGCCAGTCAGAGAAAGACAAGTACCATATGACCTCACTTATTTATGAAATATCAAGAACAAAATAAGCTGTTGATCAAAACAGATGCAGAGACATGGAAGTAGGAAACAGACTGACAAACCTCAGAGGAAAGGGGGGTTAGCGGGGTTGAAAGAGATAAACCATTTTTTTCTTATGATGTGTGGCACTTTAAAATATTATTTTATTAACTTTCAATGAGCATCTTGCTCATTTGCCTCGTTTAACTGAAATCTATTACGTGTCTTCGGCTTTTTTCCTCACATGATTTGAAGACTCTCCAAGGTACCTATTTTGTGTCCTGAGTTTCTTTAGACATCTCCTTGCTTCTAGTGACCTGTGTTATATCACATTAAGCTTGTTGGGCCTAAGTAGTCAGTTATTTTCCTGCTTCTTTGATATTAGTGGGAGTTTGGATTGACAATGGGAACTTCCATATGTCATGACAGGAAGGCTTTTCAGGGCTTGTTTTTTTAATACTTCTCCATCTGTCTGTCTTGGTATATACGATATTTATACGTAGGGAGGGATGTTTGTTTTAGCGCATGACAGATACTTACAGTGCAGATTAGATCATGCACTTCTGAGAGTCTCCAAAGCATGTAATAAACAATTCTTAATCTTTAAAACAAAGCCTTGGGGTGCCCCCTCAGTCTACACAGTATTTTTAGCTGCCAGAATAAACTCTCTACCCATGTCAAGCTCACTTTACGTGTATATACTTCAAGTTCCCTATTTTCTTTCATCTGCTTCTTTGGTAAACAGATGGCAGAAACTTCCTCTGGCTGATCTCTGTGACACATTACAAATTTAGCTCAGACGCCAACTGGCTGTGCGTGTCTTTGGCTATTCACAGAAAGGGAGGGTTTATCTTCCTTCCTTCTGGAGAAGTCTGGGTCTTTTCATGGGTCCGCATCTGTTGCAAAGGGCTATTTGGAATTGGAGGTACAGGGCCATGGGAAAAGATCTCTCTTTTTGTGGTACTTGACCAAAAACTAGTCCGATGAACCATTTCCAGCAGGTGTTGATCTTACTGTGGCGCTTTTGAATGATTTTCTCCTCTTGTGTCCATGGGTTATATCAAGACCTACGTGACCATCCATCAGTTGTTGGTTTTCACAGAGAGTCACTCGGGCAGCCGATGGAAGCACATGCCTGGGCACAGAACACATAGCTCCGCCACGCTGCCTGAATGCTGCTGGAGTCCTGGGCTCTGATTTTGATCCAGAAACTACCCTTAGGTCAGTCTTAACATACAGATTGGCAGCCAGGACACCTCGCTCTTCGACATGTTCACTATGTTGGGCAAGTCATGCAACCTAATTCAAGTTCCCAGATTCCCTCTCATTTAAATAGTGATGATAAGACTTAACAACAAAGTTCTGAAAGATGTGTTTCCCCTGATAGGGATGCTATGTGATTCAAGCAGTAGAATAGATTAAAGGTATTTTGAAAAAAAATTAAAAGCATTCTTTAATTTCCAGGTAGGTTGTATTTCTTCTTCTAGACAGCCTAGGGGTATCACTGGCCTGGAACCTATTTTTACTGGTATTATTGCTGGTCCTCTTTTCCCCAGAGTTTTCCGCTTCTTCGTCATTGCATCTCCTACTCTATTTGCCCAGCTTGTGACCCAGTAGCGTGGCCTTGAACTGAGGCAGAGGAAAAACTGCAAACTGCTGGATAATTTCGCCTGGTTGAGCCTGGTGATGGCTGTGGCTGTTAGTCACCCCGTGACTCATGATCCTGAGCGCCACTCAGGTTCCTGCTAGAGAGCAGGTGTTAGCAACCCTCAGTCAATAATAGAAATGCATAAATGTACTGGAAACTGCAGGAAACTTAAACACACATTAACAGGGACACTGGGATTTACAATAGAAAATTTAAAAATATGATCTCACATGACACACCCATTTTATACTACAAAAACTTTAGTTTGAACAAGCCATGTCATAAAAGTGGCATAAAAGGGGCCACAAAGTCAGCAAGGCCAGTCATATAATAACAGGCCAGCGGATTTAGATATTAGGGTGTTCCTGGCTTTCTTTGAGGTCACATTCTCAAACAGAGCAGTGACTTTGCTCCAGGTCATATGAAGTCATAATGTGGGTTGGGTTAATCCTGGTATAATCACTTAGGTAAGGTTTAATTTGTTGAACCAAACCCTGGAACCAGTTCAATTCACAGAAGAACATATAATTATATAATTTTTATCCCAAGACTCAAGAGAAAAATTTTGGTAGCTATAATGGGGATTCAAAGGGAATATGAGGCTGAAGGGAAAGTGCATGTAGAAATCTCAGCAGGAGAAACAGAAATAGAAACATCTGTGGGAGTCCGGGCTCTGTTATTTGTATAATGCATCTTGCAAGCTGATTCACTGGAATCTCAAATAAGCAAACATGTTTTCAAATATTGAATCTTTACACAGAAAGGGTGATGTAGCTATAAGAGAGTGAACCATGGTTGTATATCTTACTGAATTTTCCAAGGCATACCATTATTTTATGTGGAAGGGTTACCTGGCTGCCCGTTTTCCACTTGTCTGTAGTACTGACCTGCAGCGTACATGGATAACACACATGCCCAGCTAGTGCAGACTCCTCTTGTCATCCACTCACAGGTTAGTCCATCCCTTCATAACACCTACTCACCAGACCTCCTAACTGATAGACTAGCTCAAAGATGTCGTGTCCCCTGCCTGCCGTCTGTTTTCGATGTTAGTGAGTCATGAAATGCCTAAAAGCGGTGGTCTGAAAGAGGCTTGAACTGTCAGAAAACAGAATAATAACCTTGGGCTAGTCAAGGGTTGTTAGGTGGGTTGTATAATCAAGTAATCACAGGAATGATGACTAAAATTAATAGTGAATCCATGAATCTCTGGAAACCAAAATGCATGCTAGTTTTAGGAGAAACCTCAGAGACAGCAGACAGACTTTCACTGATAGACGTTTGTGGAAGAGACCTTGCACACAGACCAGTTCAGTCTGGCCAGTGTCCACTGAGCACCTCGCTTCTTGCTACTCTAGGGATACATGGGAGTAAGACTTCGTCTTGGTCCTATGAGAGCTCTGTCTCGGAGGGAAGATGTCACACTGCTCTGCTGACCGCAGTGATGGCTGTGCCCGGGCCGAGCCGGTGCCTCCCTGGGCTGTTTACTTCTGTCAACTTGAATTCTCGTATCCGGCCTCTAAGGGAGATGTCGCTGTCCCCAGTGTAGAGACAGGGAAGGCATCTTTTCCCCGGCACGTTGTTGCACTGCCTCTGAGCTCAGTATGCTCAATGCCTTGCCAAGGACTGGAGTCGGACTGGTGGGGATGTAGCGTGGCCCCGCGATGTCCTTACGGGGTCTTGAGGAAATTTCTTATTCGAGCCACAGTTTCTCGTATGACACAGAAATAGTGGTGGCCAGCTCAACCCCCAGCTCCATTGTCACCGTCCTCAGAAAGGCCCTACTCGACCGCTCTAAGGAACTTTATTCCCGGTTACGTGACCCCGTTACCCTGTTTTAATTTTGTTCCAGCCTTTATCACCATCTGAAATGATCTTAGGTGTCATTTGTGTACGTGACTGTTGTCGGCCTCCTCACTTGAATGTGAGTTTTATGAAGGCAGGGACGGGGCCTTTCCTGCTCAGCCTTCTGTCCCCAGAAACTGGTTCCTGGCACACAGTTGGTGTTCAGTCACTATTACATGATGGGAAGGGGTCTAGGTGACAGTTCATGGAGACAGAAAGGAGAAAATGACGGTACTTATGTTTAATGTCCTTGTGAACAATTCCAGAAAGAACATAAGTCACTGAAAGCTCTGAACTCTGCTGTTACGTTAGGTAGAAAGGCTCGGATTTGTTTTTTTAGCCATGGCTGAGGTTTGAAAATAAATTCAGTTTCATCGTTCAGTGCATGGTGGTCAATTCTCGACCTGGCTGGCCTTCCAGAAAAGGAGCGGGAGGCCAGCAGGACCCAGGCAGGAAATGGGGTCTTCTGTGCATGTGACTGGGAGATGCTGAGCAGGTGTTTGGCCTCCACTCTCTCCCACAGGGGTTAACCTCAGAGTGAGAGACCGTCTCACTGTGTCTACCCAAGGCCCCTCCAGCCACACTGACTTCTTGCTCTGGCCCTTGTTTCAGGATTCTGAGAAGCGAACACCGCTTCACGTGGCCGCGTTCCTGGGAGACGCAGAGATCATCGAACTCCTGATCCTTTCAGGTAAATACCAGCTGTGCTGAAAGTCGGCCGCAGATGAAAACTTCAGTCTTATGACACTGACTGCTGTAATGAACCCAAACAAAATGTCTTTACTGTGCTCATGGAAGTGTATTTGATGAGCAGTTTTGTCCGTGGTTGTATAAAACAGTGCAAGAAGTTGTTCTTGTTGAAACAATGACATCTCACCCTGGCCGGTGTGGCTCAGCAGTAAGAGTGTCACCTGCAGACCAAAGAGTCCAGGGTTCGATTCATCCCTGGCCCCGATGTGTGTCTCTCACATTGATGTTTCTCTCTCTCTCTTCCTCTAGTTCTATCTGAAGATTAATGTAAAAATGTCTTCGGGTGAGGATTAAAAAAAAATATATATATATATATTTTTTTAAATTGGTTGTTAGACTGAGAATCCTCAAAGGGAAGGGGGGAGGGAGGGCAGGATGAGATAAACCAAAGAACTTCTATGTGTATATGCATAGCCAATGGACACCGACAATAGTGTGGGGAAGGCAGGAGGGGGGTGGGATTGGGGAAGAGGGGGGTCAATGGGGAAAAAAAGGGGGGACATCTGTAATACATTCAACAATAAAGATGAGTTAAAAATAAGTAAGAGAGCAAGAGCGAGAGAGAGAGAAACAATGTCATCTCCAGTAAAACTTTTACATTGCTTTGAAAATCTGATTCCTGACCCTCTAATCAGGTCCAGTAGTAGATGAATTCATATATTGGGATATCGTTATAAAAGAACAAACAAGAAAACTGGTTCCTTACAGTATATATGAACAGACACTAATGTGTGTGTATTAACATATATTTATTTGACGTGCACTGCAAAACAATGCTTTGTTTTGTTTATGGATATATGACTATGACTATGTAATAGAAATAGAAAAACATGAATGGAAAGGAAACATATCAATTTCTGGATAGTGGCTACCTCTGAGGAGGAGTTTGAGGGAGAGATGTTTGCAGGGAAGGGCAACTTTGTAAAATAGTTTATGTTCTAAAAATTAGTAGCCAATATGGCAAACACATGTTAAATCTGATTTGTGTGTGTACCGGTCTTTGTGTTATTATCTTTATTTTTCTATGGATTTTAAATATATTATCTGGAAATGCCAATGCTTTTGTTTTTGGAAACCTATATGCGATACCTCTCACCAAACAGGTTTCTAAAATCAGTCTGTGCTTTCTCCCTTGAGTATTTGCCAGACAAGTCCCCGGAATGAATCTGAGCATGCACATCTCAGTGTGGATGGTATGCAGACTGGCTGGCTTTCTTCCTCCTCCTCTCTGTTTGGGAAGATTAAAATCTGGAGGAAATTCCTCTGCCCATAGACTATGCAAAAGGCCTATCTAAGGGTTGGCTTTTGTTTGAAGTAGCAAAGGGAAACTGTAGCACCCAAAGTGAGCTGTGCCAGGGTAGGAGCTGATACATGTGTTTAAGCAGATGTGGAGAGCATTGTGGAAAGGAAACAAGAATTGTGCTGGGATACACAAGGAAGACTCCCACTGCCCTGTTTTTGTTGTGTTCATCTTCTTGAGGTGGGTTTCCCCAGGAAACAAGTATTCTGTGCCTTATAAGCTGCATGCCCTGTGCTCCTGACGGTTACTTGGAGCTGTGGTTAGATTTTTGTGTGGCGTTGCTTGTGTTCTTGAGACCAGGCCTATCTTCTCAGTCTTCTGAAGGTATTCCAGGGCTGTATTCCAAACAAACATGCATTGTTTGGTGCTGGCACAGACTATGGCTAAGAGCCAGCACACACCTGGCCGATTGCCCCAGCAGTAGAAATTTGGCCCGTGGAAAATTGTAGGCAGAAATCAGTGAGGTAGAAAAGAATTTTGTGGGCCCTGGCCAGTTTGGCTCAGCTGTTAGAGTGTTGGCCCATGGACCAGAGAGACCTGGGTTTGGTTCCCTCTAAGGACATGTACCTTGGTTACAGTTTGTCCCCGGCCCTGATTGGGGTTGTGTGGGTGGCAACCACTCAATGTGTCTCTCTCACATCGATGTTTCTCTCTCTCTTCCTCCCTCTCTCCTTCCCACTCTATCTGAAGATAAATGCAAAAATGTTCTCAAGTGAGGATAAAAAAAATAAATAAGTAGAATTTTGTGGTATGGTACCTAATGATCCCAACTTGCTATATTCACCATTCAAATACTATATTAAGAGATATCAGAGGAATGTTGTTAGATTCATGAATGTGCAAATTCAAAACTCTGTCTTAGACCCCCAACTTTGGTTTTTGTTTGTTTTTTCACATCTGAAAGGGAAGGTTTTAGTTCTACAGCATGAAGTTGACCCATCTATTTTCCTCAGGTGTCTGGGAGTTGGGGATTGAGAAACTTGGTTTCACATAACCTTCCCATGGCGTGGTCCACCAGCCGCCCTTAAATGTGGCTCATTCTGTGGGTCCAGGAGAAGCTGTCCCATTTATTTGATCTGTGCACCTCTTTGGTCTTGGAATAACTGAGCTGTTAACCTCTCTAGTATAATTAGGGTGGTACATGCCCTGGAATTTTTCCTCTTCCCCCCATCAAATTAGAAAGATTCAGGGTATGAGAGAGCATTGGGAATATTCTTTAGACATTTTACTCAACTGCGGAAGCTTGGGTAAATGCTTGGGATGCACATGGCTTTAGTTTTGCCTTGGAAGTGCTATAGCCAATGTGTATCTTATAGTCCTAGAGAAATGTCATTGTAAGAGCATGATGATTTCGTCTCTAAGCTTACATCTGGCAGCTGACCCTTTAGGGAATCCAACCCAACTATTTTCCAACTTAATAATGAATGAGGTGTTAATGATTCCTATGTTGGACAAATAATTTGGCCTTGCCAGAATAGCCCATTACAGCTGTGTTCTCTATTGTTGTATTAACTTACGGAGCATAGTGTAACCCAAGCCCGCTTATTTCCTGCTGACATTATCTCCTGTTAGCCAGGTGGATGGAACCCTGATGCCTCTGAGCAGCCAGAGGAATTTAGGACTTGCAAAATTCCTTTTCTTATAATTGCCAGACCGGATTCTGGCTTTATTTCCCCCACACCTGACCCTAGCTTCTGTTTGGGAACTGGCCTTGTCAGGCTTAAGTCAGAGAGAAGCAGTCACCGAATCTGGGAAGAGAACCTTGAACTCCAAATGAGAACGCAGCCCATCTGATATCTTGATTTTTTTTTTTTTTATTCTCACCTGAGGACATTCTTCCATTTTTTGTTTAAATAGAGTGGGAGGGAGAGAGAGGAAGAGAGAGAAACAGCGACGTGAAAGGGACACATCGAGTGGCTGCCATCCGCATGAACCAACCAGGGCCAGGGACAAACCGCAACCAAGGCACATGCCCTTAGCGGGAACCGAACCCGGGTCTCTCTGGACCACAGGCCGACGCTCTAACCGCTGAGCCAAACCGGCCAGGGCTTGATTTTAGTTTTTTAAGACTCAGATAGAGAACCAAGACACTCCGTGCCTGAAGTTCTGACCTACAGAGCTGTGAGCTAAGAAGTAGGTATTGTTCTAAACTGCTAAGTTTGTGGTGATTTGGTACACAGCAATAGAAATCTAATACAGTGATTACAAAGATTAAAAAAGAGAGAGCGACAAGGGTTGAGATACAGGAAGCAGAACACATGGAAAAATGACCACAGTGACAACAACTTGTAGAGAAACTCTGGGGATGCACAAGGGGTATCGTCCTGGGCTGAAGGCAGAAAACAGGAAGTACCCAGCTTCTAACACGGGAGTATTGTGAGGTGTAAGTACTCATTAAAAATAATAAATTTGAATGTAGGCCACCAAACAAGTGGTATTCCTGTATAATGATTTCCTGTGATTTTTCAAAATAAAATTTTCATTCCTAACACACATTGCCTCCCGAGCCATGGCAGGTCATTCTTTTTGTTCTCTTATGCATAACAGATACTCATCCTTTAACACTGGATTTGCTTTTTTATTTATTTATTTTCCCCAAGGGTGGAGGGGTGGTTGAATCAGGCAGTGCTGATTTCGGCCCCCAGTGTGGTGTGATTATAAAGTGATAAGCCCGTCTGGTGGGTAGGTAAACTGGCTCCAAGGGCAAGTCCAAGTGCAGCTCTGAAAAGTATTCTGAGCAGTTGCCACATACATGGAATTATCACACACGCTTCCAAGGTCATTGCTTTGAAGGACACTGCTCCTGGGTTATGATAAGGATTGATCTGTTTGTTAAAAAAAAAAATCAATTGCAAGCTGATCTCACGATATTATCATCATATTTCATATGATCTTTTGTTTATATTTGTTTATTTCTGCCATTAAAAGCCAAACTTTGGTTAAATCAGCCTGAAGAATCAGGTATTCTCTTGGACCTGTAAAATTTTTCAGTCACTAGCTTACCTTTTGTCTTTGTTCTGCCTTTCCCTGGATGACAGGGCTAAGAGAACGGAAATACTGCCTCTGGAAAGGGGCCTCAAGTCCCATCCCCCATCGCTGTGAAAATAAAATCAAGTGGAAATGGGGATGAGGTGAAAAACACACGCAACTTGTAATCAGGGTTTATGCATGACAACTTTTGGTTGGGTCTTTGTTTCTGAAGAATCAGTATAGCCTAGCACTTAAGAAAATAAATAGTTAAGCTTTGAAATGTCCTTGGGTAAAACGCATTTGCCTTTAAATCATTAGGCATGCAGACCCCGCATCCTTCAGTGCACAATGGCGCCTGACAGGCAGGTAAATAATGTGAAGCTTCCTTTAGAAAAATCCATTACAGATATTCAGCTCTGAGCCAGAGCCATCTGACGTCTCCCTCTGACATGTAAACAAGACTGTGGGAGGCGTTTGGGGGAAGAGGATGAGGAAGTCAGTGGCAGGGATGACGCTGATGAAATGCCCCTCGGTCCCGTTCAGATAACTCTGCTCTTGTCATAATAATTCTGTTGTTCGGGGAGAGGAGGTTGTCCTGGCAGCTGCCTTGCAGTCTCCTGGAGGAGCATGAGTGGCGGGTGGAGGGCTTCGACAGTGACCTGAGAGGGGCC